AGATAGAGGAGAAGGACAGCACACCCATCTCTCCTAGGTGGTGATTTCTGACTTTTTCTCTCTCTTTGTCGCTTGGGTGAGTGCACATACCCTATACCAAAAATCTCTAAAAAAAAAAAAAGAAGAAAAGAAAAGAAACAAACAAACAAACAAAACTTTTACATAGTGAAAAAGAAGTTTAAAACCACCTCAGGTCCAGCCATAGTGGCACAAGTGGTAAGGTGCCACTGCTCAAGGTTGGGGCCACCTTGGAGTTCCAGATTTGGATCCCAGACAAACTTTAACAGTTCTGGTGCTATAGAAGGTGCCTATCATCCTACTAACTTGGAAGCAAGGACAGAGTGACAGAAGTTGAGTTCCTGTCAAAAATCTCTCACTTGGGACTGGCAGATGGCATAGTGGCTAAGGTACCAGACTCCCACATGGCCGACGATGGTTCAAGTCCCTAACCTGGTGGCTTGCTTCCTCACTTTATCTCTCTCTCTCTCTGTTCAAATAAAAAAGAAATTATAAATAAAATTAAATAAATAATTCCTTTAAAAAATTCTAATTAAAAAAAGAAACTCTCTCCCTTCCTCCTCTCATTCTCTTTCTCACTCTCTTATAAAACAAAAATAAAAGTAATTCATAAGGAAATAGTAACAAACAATAAGAAACAAAAGCTGCTATTATTTCTTCCATGTTAAAAAGAAATCGTTTCAACTCTACAACTCCTATCCTCAGTCATGGCACCATTTCTTTGCCCCTTTGCAGGAAACCCACTCAAAAGACTTGACCATGCTATTTCTAATTGTTTTCCTCCCCATTCTCTTTTATTTATTTATTTATTTATTTACTGGAGAAGTTTTTTGCTATAGGGCACATGGGCTCGCCAGAAAGACAGAGAGAGACAGAGAGACAGAAAACGAGAAATCACCCCCCAGAGGGGATAGCCACGCCGCAATCCCTTCTTCTCCCTTCTCTTCTCAGGATCTTGGGCATGCACGCACACGCACCCGGAGTGAGTTTAAGCCGCTGGGTCCAGGACTCGAATCGTGCTCTTCTTTGCTGGAGCAGCATGTTACTGCTCTACCACTGAGCCAGCCTTATTCTCTTCTGTATATACTTTCTTCCTCAGACTCCACACTTTCTTGATTTCTCTCCTTCTTAATTACCAGTTGCTCTATTTCAGTCTCCTTCACTGGTTCTTCCCCTTTTCCCCTACATCTTAATAGTGGAGTAATCCTGGGCTCAGATAATTTCTCTCAATCTGCATTCAATTTCCAGTGAATTATCTAAAAGGTCTTACATAACACCTATGTGCCAATGACTTCCAAATCATATCGTAGCACAGGCTTCTCTCCCAGACTCTGGACTTAACATATGCCACTTTTTACTTGCTATTTCTACTTAAATATCAATAAATAGTCCAAACTCAAATGTTTTCAAAACTGAACTCTTGTTCTTTCCCCTTAAACTTGGACCCCACATGATCTAGTATCAGTTGATGGCAACTACTCAGCTGTTCAGGTCAAAAACTGGAGTCATCCATGATTCCTTTCTTTCTCTCACATTCCACATCTTATTAGTTTGAAGAACCTTATTAGCCCACCTTCAAAATACATTCAGTAACTTTCTATTTCTCATGTCCTCTACTGTTACCACCCTGGTAGATGCCACTAATGACCTCTCAAATTATTTTTTTCTAAACTATTTATTTTATTTTAAAATATTTACTTGATAAAGACTGTTAATCCAATGTGTAAAATAGCATGATTTGGAATACATCTTTGTTATGTAATGATTATCACAATAAAATAACATAGACATCATCTCTGCTGTATATTTTATCTCCAAAATTTGTGTATTGTATATTCTTTGACCAATATCTTATTTCCCCTAGTTCCCAGCCTCTGGCAACCACCATCCTACTCTTTGTTTCGATGAATTTAGCATTTTTAGATTTTACATCTTTTTAATGTATGGATCTTTTTAATGTATGGATCACCCTACATACTTAAGGTTTGTGATGAAAATGAAAGACTAGATATTAAGGGACTTTTTTGTCTTTCCATTTTGGGGGGCTGTAAAGTCTTGACTTGTTGGGAGATTTTTTTGGATTTTTGTGTTCTTTTTATTATTCAGAATTTTAGTTTAATGGTGCTTCTATTTGGAAGTTACCTTTTAAACTAAGTGAGCCAAGGAAGTAAGGAATGAACAACAAAAAGGTAGAGTCAGAGACAGGTTGCTAAAAGAAACTCAAAGGAAACAAGAAAGAACTTGAGTTTTGTAGCTCTGTTCATCACTAGGAATGAGAGTTAAGATTTCCAAGGCCAGTACTGATACTAGTAATAAAGATTTGAATATGGTGTTCCTTTTTTTTTTTTTTTTTTTTTTTTTGCCAGGAGCCTGGAAGAAGCAAATGAAATCCAAGGGAAACCTTAAAATACTTCTGTAAATAATAAAATTAATCCCATTATATTGAAGGGTTTGGAAGTTTTTAAACTAATGTTTTATGCACACTCTGTCTCCCTTAATACTTACATTCCAGTGAGAGGGGGACTTATCTCTGAGGATAGACTTGTGAAAATAATGAAAGACCAGTATATTCATTATCTAGTGCAATGTAACAAATTACCCCCAAATTTAGTGGTTTACAACAGTGGAAAGTATTTATTATCTCTTACAGTTTCTGTGACTCAGGAGCCAGAGCAGCTTGGTTGGGCAGTTCTTGGTCAGTGATATTCATGAAATTCAGTTTGATGATGGCTGAAGCTTCAGATATCTGAAGGCTTGACTGGGCTAGAGGATCATTAATAAGACTGGCAAGTTGGTAGGGGCTGTTAGGAGGCCTCCTTCCCACAAGGGCCTTTCCAAGGGATGTGTCAGTGTTTTTACAATTATAGCTGATTTTCTCCAAAATAAGCAATACAATAGAACAAAGGATATAAAAGAACAATGTGCAGGTCACAATGCCTTTATGTCTGACCTAACCCTTTGCTGTACCCTATTGGTCACATGGGAAAGTCTGGATTGAGTCTGAGAGGTGAATATGCAAGAGTATGTATACCAGTAGTAAGGAACATTGAAGGCTACCTTGACAACTGGCTACCAAAGAATCAGATAGCTTTACATACAAGTGGTAAAATGATCTCAGTTCTCCTCAGAGATGACCCAGATGTGTCTTTTCTTGTTTGCACCACTTCAAAAAGTGAGAACATTTGTCCTCCTTGTATTGTCTCTCCATCTTTAGAGAGCCCTAAAAACCTCTATAACATTTCACCTTAGTGTCTCTGAGCAGTAAGCATACTTTCAGTTAGCAATGGATTTCTTATTTTAACAGAGGATAACAAACAATAAAGTTGTGACTCTTCTGGGGAATGTATAAGAAGATATAGCACCTTCTTGATTCAGCAGGGGAAAAAAGTTTTGCTTTTCTATGTTAAACTTGATAGACCTAGAGAAAAGGAACAGACACTAAAATGCTAAATGTGACAAAGGAAAAAGAGCCTTGGGAATATGCTATACCTCTTATACCTCTATCTACACTACATAATCAACCGTTAGACTTCAAGAAAGCAGATTATTTCCTCATATGTAAAATGCAGATAATATCCTCATGCTCACATATTTAAAGAGTGAGATCTAAATATAAAGTGAGAGCAGAGCTCTATTGTATATGTGTGGCTATACACACACTCAAAAACATAAACATATATTTATGTGTCCACATATATAGGTACGTATATGTCCACACATAATTATGGAGAGAGAGAAGAGAGTTTAGTTTCCAATTTATATTCAGACTTTACTACAGGTATATATCCACACAGTCAACAAATATAGAGAGATACATTTATATGTGTGTATATAGAATATAGCTTACAAATAATAAACTTGACCAAATTCTTGTAGACATCGACTAGTATTTGGCAGCATCACTCACCTCTTTCCATATGATTCCTTCAATAACGCTATAAACACTGAGCCTTCTTTCTAATTCTAACATGCTATGATTCTCACTACTATGAAAAAGAGCTGATGTCATAAACACATTGTGTTACATTATCACCAAGGGTCAGACCCCATTCTTAGTTACATAATCCCTGGGGTACTACCAGCCTTTTTATCCTTGAAATAGCTGCTTGGAGGAGAGCAAATAAAGCCCTACAAGCTAAAGAAATTCCTAGTATATTTTTCATTATTAATCTTCAGCAAAGAAGCAGACAGTTTGGAAGTGGGAGTAGGCAGTAAGTAGATAAATTGAAATAATCAATAGTTATTTATATTTTCCCTAAATATCTTGGCATCTTCTAGTCACAAATGCTTCGGGGGAAGGAAATCATCCAACAGATACCATATCCCTCTTCCCAATATCTCCACAGTAAGTCCCGAGACCCAAGAGCATAATTCCCTGCTAACTAGCTGTCACACTGCAACTTCCAGCAAATGGCAGCTATCATTTATATCTCATGCTAGTTTCATCTATGAGGTCTGCAATCCATAAGAACAACCCAATAATGATTAAGCAAAATCAAAGAGATCTTTTAAAAGCCTGTCTGCCTTTATTGTTACAAATGCTTCACTAGTAAGAGATCAGTCAAAAGCATAAAGGTACCTGATTTGAACTTTCTTTGTGCTTCAATTAGAATGTTTCTCTTAGAAAGCTTTCATATCAGGCTTCCGCTTTTCTTGGTTAAATCATGAATTGGCTTATGTTTAAGAGGTTTTCCTATGTCCCCTTTCCCAGCATCACTCTTCTCTTTCTTTTTTCTTTTTTTAAAGGATTAATCATTTTATTTCATTTACTATTACTATCATGATTTTAATTTGACCAGAGAAAGACACAAAGAGAGAGAGAGAGAGAGAAAAGGAAAGTGAGAAAGCAAGCCGCCACGTTCAGGACCTGAACCACAGTCGGCCATGTGGGAATCCAGAGCCCTAACCACCATATCTGCCAGTCCCTCTTCTCTTACTTTTATGGATCCCTTGTCATTACCTAGGAAACTACCTCCCCAACTCTGTCTGCCTTCTGCATTCTGCCTGCTGCTCAATCATGTTCCTGACCCTTCATAACCCCCTTTCTACCATCACAACATGTTTTTCCTAGATTGACTTGCTTTTAGAGACTTGCTAGGTGAGTGACTAATCTGATCATTTTTGCTAAAATGTTGAATTAGTCCCCATTCCCTGCAAACTTGCTTCATAGATTGCTTGTCGTTATTTAGGAATCCTCCCCACTCTGCTGGTCTTTCACATTCTGCCTATTACTCAGTCATGTTCCAAACCCTTCATAATCCTGCTTCTACCATTACAATATGTCATTACAATGCTTTTCCTAGACTTAATTTTCTTTTAGATTTTTGCCATAGGGTGGATATGCTTGCTAGAGAGAGATACAAAAAGGGAAAGTGAGAAATCATTCCCCAGGGGGAATGGCCACACCTCAATCCATTTCCTTCATTCTTCTCTGGGAATTTTGCATATGCACACACATGTGCCAGGGATATTTTCTTTTCTTTTCTTTTTCAGTTTCTTCCTTCCATAGAGTGACTGTGCTTGTCAAAGAGAGACACAGAGAGGGAAAGGAAGGATTCATCATCCAGGGAAGATGGGTATGCCACAATTTCTTCTCCATTCTCCTCTCGGAACACGTATGCACACAGCCTGGTGTATTGTTCAAGCTGCCAGGTCTGGGAATTGAACCTTGCTGTGAGCTGTGTGGGATCCAGCACCTTTACCACCATGCCACATGCTAGCCCATAGACTTATTTGTTTTTAGAAACTTGCTAGGCAGGTGATTAATCTGATCATCTCTGCCAAAATGTTAAATTAGTCCTCATTCTCTCTTAAATTGAATTGGTTTTTGGTTTTGGTTTTTGAGAGTTTTGCTTATAGGACACATGCACTCACCAGAGAGACAGAAATCACCCACAGGACAATATCTATGCTTTTATGCCCAATCCCTTCTCCTCTGTTCTCCTCTCGGGATTTGGGCATGCACACACATGGGCCATGGGTTTCCAACTACCAGGTCTGGGACTCAAACTGTGGCCAATCATGTGGGAGTCCAGCACCTTAACACTACACCAACTAGCTGGCCCCTTTAGAATTGTTTTGTAAGAAAATATTCCTAGAGACATTATTGACATCTCTGAATGTCAATACCTAAAATATCAAAATAGTATAGGCATTTTAGTGAACAGTAAGAGGGGATGAATCAGTATAATTGGACCTGTAAGAAGTGTGAAATCTATTGAGCTACTTTACTTGACATAGGGAGTTGATATAGGAAAGCTGCTCTCCCTGAAATCACCCTCAAAGATGGCCCTTAACATTGAATGGATATCAAATGGCTTCCCATGGCACTTAAAATAAAATATACACTCTTTTTTAGGCCCCAAAATCTGACTTTTCCCTACCTGTCTTTACCTTGCACACTGCAATCCAGCCAAACTGGCCTTCTTTTTATTAGTGAACATACCTTAGGGCTTGAAGTGCTATGTTCCAATTTTTCTCATGCAAGTGACTCTTCATAATTACTTTGTAATGGGGCCATAAGGTAGCACGGTGTTTAAGGAGCTCAACTCCTGCATGAGTGATTGCAATTTGAGTTCTGGACCTGGTGCTTGAAAATCACACCAGGTGTGTGTGCATGGGTGCCCAAAATTCCAAGGGGAAAATGAAGGAAAAAGGACTGTGGTATAGCCATCCTCTCTAGGAATGATTTCTCTCTCTCTTATGCACATGCCCTATGGCAAAAAAAAAAAAAATTAAGAAAACAAAATGAAAAAAAAATTGTTTTCTAGCACAGCATTTTATCTTGCTTTTAAAGAATTATTTTACTTAACTTTATTTATTATTATTTTTTTCCAGTTTGATCAGAGAGAGACAGAAGGAAAGTGAGAAAGCAAACCACTAGGTCCAGGACTTGAACTGTGGTTGGCCATGTGGGAGTCCAGTGCCTTTAACCACCATGCTACCTCCTGGCCCCATAACATTCTGTTTTATTTCTTCATGGTATTAATCACTATGTGAAATTTTGTTATACATGTATTTGTTTACCTTTCCTTTCCAGGCCTCCTTTTAATTTATTCTTTATTGTCTATCATGCTTATCATTATATCCCTTGAGTTTTGCCCAGAATCTGGTACACATTCAGTGTTCAATAAATATGTGTTGAATGAATAGATGAACCCAAGCATAATTTAACCTTTAATCTTAAGTAATTGAGTAAGCAGTCCTTTTATAATAATACTAGAAAAGTGGGAACAGGAGGACAGAAGGGAGGAGGTTATATTATAATATCACTATTATAATCATAATATTGCTATAGCTTATGTGTCTAGCTTCTATTTATAAAAATTTTCTTGGTTGTGGACTACATCTTTTTCATTAAAAACATTGTAAATATTGGATTCATAAAGATTCTATATGCTTTTTTGAAAAGCTGTCTTTTTGATGAGATGTTACAAATGAATACAGGTATCCCTTGAGAAATCTTGTCAATAGATCTTATTCTTCTGTCAATGCTAAGAAACCACATTTCCCCTTGGCCAATTTCTGGCTGTTATAGATATGCAGTCTCTATTTCTAGGACTACAGAAGCCAATGAGCAACTTGCCTGTCACAAGATCCAACAAATGATCTCTTCCCATTTGCAGTGTAGCTAAGCAGAGAAGCAGCTCTCCTTACGAGGATAAGCTATACAGCATGGAATCCTGCTAAATGCCCACAATTGATTATGCAGCAAAGTTCATCCCGGAAGCCTGATCCCCTCCCTCCAGAAAACCTAGAAATTTTGTTTTCTACCAGGCAGTCCCAGGTTAGTTGGTTGTAGCTGAGAAGCAGACATCTGAGAGCAGGTCAGCAAGCCGGCAGACAGATGCTTTTATAGACCTCACCTCTTGACAGGCAAAATTGATGCAAGTCAATGGATTACAACTTTCTGGGTTTGCTTCTGTCTTCTACAATTAATCCTGCTTTATGAAAGTGAAACCCCAAGGAGTTTTTTTGAAGGTATCTTTCATTCTATGAAATATTAAGGGAACTGTTTTTTGTTTTGTTTTGTTTTGTTTTTTGTTTTGGAGAGGTTTTCGCTATAGGGCGCGTGCGCTCATCAGACAAACAGAGAGAGACAGAGAGACAGAAAGCGAGAAATCACCCCCC